TGGCGTTGAGGGTGGCCTGATGGTGACTCCGGCGGTCGGGTGTTTGTTGGCGGCAAATCTGGTTTGAAAATGGGTTGTGGAGTTGGTGTATTGGGGTTGAGCTTGAAAATGGGCTGTGGAGATGGTGTATTGGAGTTGGGGCCCTATTTTGGAGAATCAGATAGATTTAGGGGACTTACTTGCAATTTTAGAATATTTGATATATGTATATTTTAATACTTGATGGCAATGTATAATTTAAGTAAAGATTATTTTATGGACAATAAAATTTAAAACACCCAATTAATGCGCACTTTAAACAATATTATATATAATGTCACATTTACACGCAATTATTAAGAACTTATTAAACACCCAATTTATTTATTTTTTTGTTAAAGCGAATTGCACAATATTTTATGTATATATGCGTTTTAAAATTTAAAACATGTAATCGAATCGAAATATAAAATATCAAACAACAAAATTTGGTTTATCGATTTTTATCCATATTGTGCAATCTGATAATCATTACGTGTCATTCGTCTAACACTATTGTGCACTTACATAAATTTTTATATAATTTTTATATGTATCTCAACATTAGAAAACTAATATTAATTCGATGGTTCTCGGCAACTAGTGTGCAGTCTGATATATATTAATGTGCAACTTGGCTAACACAATTTTGTACTTTCTGTGTTATTTTTGCGCAACATGAATTAAAACTAATATTTATTATGAGGTGTATTTTACCGGTTAATATTATATTTAGTACTTTAATAATTTATTTAATAAATTTATATTATTTTTTGGTTAGAAAACATGATATATGAAATCCTGAATATGATGTAGTGCTTTCATACTTAAAATAATGTGCATTTAGCCAAACATTATTGTGCATCATATAGCATCATATTATGCGTGCATTTTTTTTACTGGGTTACAATTTTATAAATAAATAACAATGCCTATCAATTAATATGAATAGGCAATTTATAATTTATTTATTTAAATAATATATTAAAATAATATTGAAATAATTTGTTATTTATATATATTTATATTTATATTAAAATAATATTTAGTATGATAATAGTTTTATTTATTATTTTTATATTATTTTCAATCGAAAAATATAATATACGAAATATTGAAAACGATAATGTGCAAACACACAAACACAAATGTGCATATCTTATAACATTATTGTGCAGTCTATTGAGCGGAATTTTTTAACGTGAATTTCAATTTTTATGATAATTCAATAATGTTTATTTTAATTAACTTTCTTATACATTTGTCAAATTATTTATATAATACAAATATATTTAGTATATAAATTTTTTATGTTGTATTTTATATTATTGTTTGTTGAAAGTAGATCATATATGTGTGTGTATATATATATATAGATCAAATATAAATAATATTTTTTATATATTACGGTTGTTTTTATTATTTATTTATTTTTTAAATAAATTAGTAATGGAACCGAAATAACCAATACTTCCATATTGTTAAATTACATACTTATGCTGATGTGCATTTTCAAATGAATTATTGTGCATTCGATCTAATACGACTGTGCATTTCGATAATCACTAATGTGCATTTCGCTTATTATGAATTTTTTTCGTGTGCAAATACAAACTAACAATGAACCTATGTAACCGAATTTATATAAATCATTTATTAATAATATTACAAGAAACTAATTATTATAAAATAATTTTATATATTTTTTTTGATTATTTTTATTGTTATTTATTAAATTTAATATGTGTGTATAAAAAATAAATGACATATAATATTGTTAATTGAGTTTATATAAATTGTAGATTTAGCCCATAGAACTCAATTACAATTTAATGAAATTTAAAAAATTTGCAATTAAGTCCCTTGAATATATCAAATTCCCAAATGCATGCCCAATTACATTAAATCTGATTTGGGCGCTGGAGCACATTCTGTAGCCGTCGGAGCACATTTTGTAGCCGCCGGTACACCCCACAGCAGCCCTGCTTCTCGCCGGAGTACGTCGCTTTCCATCGGAGCACTTCACAGTAGCCCCACTGATGTGGCTGGGGAGGGCGAGGGCGGCTGAGGATGACGGTGGTTGATGCTGGTTCGGCGGACGACTGACTGCGCACGGCGGACGAACTTGCCCGACGGAGATCCTGTCCTGCTACACAACCTCGTGAAGCGCTTTTTCTTCTGTCCTGTTGAGCTCTCCGCTCTCCGCCGTTGCGCTGCATAAAATCGAAGATGACGGCTACTGAGATGAAGACTGCGGCTACTGAGAGAACGAAAAATGGTGGCTACTAAGAGGATGAAGACGGCAACGGCTACGGTTTCCCGACATCCATGTCAGCGGCCATCGTCTGGAACAGTGAGGACGAAGATGGCGACAACGATGGCGGTGGGAATGACGGATCTGGAGGAAGACGGCGGCGGATATGGCGGACTGAAGGTGCATCGATTCATGTACAGTGAGTGTATGTGTGTGTGTATGTGACTTTCTGTGAGAGAGAGATTATGAGAGAGAGAGAGATTGGTGATGGGTTTGACCCACGTGGGTGTGGGAGAGTCGTGTGTTTATGGGTCCACTATTTATATGTGCAAATTACCAGAATACCCTTAATGATTGTATTTCGGTATAATATAATTTGTTTGCTTTCCGTGGATAGTTGATGCTCTAGGTGCGTTTAAGACAAACCTCGTGGATCCTACAAACGTTCTTCAATCCTGGGACACAAACGTCGACCATTGCGACTGGTACCATGTCACCTGCAACACCGATGGAAAGGTTATAAGAATGTAAGAATCAATGAAAATAACAACGTTTCTCTACCCATCTACAATAAATTGGTAAATAAATGTTAGAATATTATTTGTAAATTGTCCCACATCGATTCTATACGGAAAATGAGTTTAGTATATAAGCCTAGTGGGCTAGTCGTCCCATCACCAATTGATTTTGGGATAGAAATTCACTAAGGTTCTTATAGTGCATTTCATCTGATTGGACCACACCCTCTTCCCTCAGTTCTAATTTATAGTAAATAAATGAAATCAATATTGTTTATCTAATCAATTTTAGTCTTCCATTTTTAATTGTTGTCAGTGATCTCGGTAATTCAAAGTTATCACGGCAATTGGTCCCGAAGCTTGGAAACTTGACGCAGCTGCAGTATTTGCATGTTATTTATTTAATATGTGATTGGATTTAATTGAAAATAATTCAGAAAAAACACATATTAATTGCTTAATTTGATTTGGTATCGAATATTATTAATTAATAGGGAGGTATATCAGAATAATATAAGTGGGCCAATACCCAAGGAGCTTGGAAAACTAAATGAGTTGCTCAGCTTAGACCTTTATGACAACACTCCCTGTTGGTATCTTAATTATTTATATAAAATTGTAGATATGAGAAAAGATAAATATGCTATTATATGTTGAATTTGAAAAATAAATAAATATAATTTGTAGAAGAACAAATGAAGGACAAATGAATATAATTTGTGGAAGAACAAAGGGAAGAAGCTTGATTTTATTCTTATTCACTTGCTTGCTCTTTCAATCTGAGAACACTCATTTATATAGCATATATGGAAATCTCTAGAGCTCAATCATTAAATTGCCAACTAATGACAATCAATTTCCAGCTAATTAAATCATTAATTATTTTAACAACCAATCAATCATTAATCAATCAACTAAGCATTAAAAAATTTTAACACTCCCCCTTAATGCTTATTTGGTTAATTCCAAGTTTTTCACGTAGAGTCTCGAATCTTGGTCGTGGTAGAGCTTTTGTGAAAATATCTGCAAGCTGATCTTCAGTGGCGACATATGTGAGCTTTATCTTCTTGTCATTAGTTGCTTCACGTAAAAATGATATTTGATAGCAATGTATTTGGTCCTGCTGTGATGTACTGGATTTTTTGCCATTGCTATTGCTGACTTGTTGTCACAATATATCTCCGTTGGACTTTCTTGGTGTTCTCACATGTATCCAAGAATACGCCTATGCCAAATAGCCTGACTTGTTGTTAGTGCTGTTGCGACGTACTCGGCCTCTGCGGATGATTGCGCCACACAATCTTGCTTTTTAGATGACCATGACAATATTCCTGATCCAAGTGAAAATGTGTAGCCTGAGGTGCTTTTCATATCATCAGTTGATCAAGCCCAATCACTATCTGTGTAGCCGACCAGTCTTGACTCATCGTTGTATTCATATTGGATTCCATAGTCTTTAGTACCCTGCAAATATCAAAGTATTCTCTTCGCAGCTCCATAGTGAACTTGACTCGGACTTTGCATGAACCTTGACAGTAGACTTGTTGCTTACATGATGTCTGGTCTTGTAGCCGTGAGATATAACAATCTTCCAATAAGGCTTCGGTATGTGGGTGCGTCTGCATTTGGTGTACCATCTTCTTTGGTGAATTTCTCGTTCGCAACCATGGGAGTAGCCACAGGTTTACAGCCGTCCATCTTGAACCTTTTTAGTAGATTATCTGTGTATTTCTTCTGTGAGATAAATATCCCATTTTCTTCTTGGTTTACCTCAATGCCAAGAAAATAGCTCATTTGCCCAAGGTCTGTCATCTCAAAGGTCTTCATCATATCTTCTTTGAACTACTTAATCATCTCCTCGTTGTTCCCTGTATAAATAAGATCATCTACACAAAGAGAAGCAATGAGTTTGTTGTCGTTACCTTGGGTCTTGATGTAGAGTGTTGGCTCAATTTTGCTTCTTTTGAATCCATGACTGGTAAAATAGTTATCAATTCGACTGTACCAGGCTCGTGGGGCTTATTTCAATCCATAAAGTGCCTTCTTTAGCTTTAGGACTTTTTTTTCATGTCCTTCTGCCACGAACCCTTGAGGTTGTTCGACATAGATCTCCTCTTCCAGGTAGCCGTTGAGAAATGCTGACTTGACATCAAGTTGGTCAATTCTCCATTTCTTCTGAGCTGCTAGAGCAATTAGAGCTCTTATAGTATCTAGCCGAGCAACTGAAGCGAAGGTCTCGTTGTAGTTGATCCCAGGCAATTGTGAGTACTCTTTACGGCCAGCTGTGCTTTATGTTTTTGGATCGAACCATCTGGGTTAAGCTTCATCTTGTAGACCCACTTAACTCCAATGACTTCCTTATTGTTTGGTGGATTGACCAACTCCCAAGTTTTATTCTTCTCGATCATCCTGATTTCTTCTTCCATGGCTTTTACCCATTTTTTTTCCTTTACTGCTGCTTCAAAGCTTTCAGGTTCCATCGTGGCAAAAATGCTTGTCTCGTAGATCTCCCTGAGTGTTCGTACTTTTCTCGGTGGTGATTCTTGGGATGACTGTTCTTCAGTTGATGGTGTTGTTGTCCTCGGACTTGAAGGTTGTGGAGCTGGAGGTGATTGTGAACCTTCTGCTTCATGTTCTTCTTGTATGGTATTTTGCCTCCTCCGTGTAGGTACCATGATATTTTGGTATTCAACTTTTTCTTTCTCCCAGTTCCATGCAGCATTTTCATCGAACTCTACATCTCGACTGATAATTAGTTTACCAGTCTTGAGTCTGTAAATTCTGTATCCTTTAGATTGAGATGCATAGCCGAGAAATATGCCTTTCTTGGATTTCTCCTCTAATTTGTGTCTCTTTTCCTTTGGGATGTGCACATAGCAGATATTCCCAAAGACATGTAAATGTTAGGCAGATGGCTTTTGTCCACTCCAAGCTTCTATTGGAGTTTTATTTTGGACAGCGTTAGTAGGACACCTGTTGAGTAAATAGACTGCAGTGTATACAGCTTCTGCCCAAAACTCTTTGGGCATGTTCTTCTCTGCGAGCATTGTCCTGGCCATCTCTTGTACAGTTCTGTTTTTTCCTTTCTGACACGCCATTTTTCTCTGGAGCATAACCGACAGTTAGCTGGTGGTTGACTCCTTCATCCTCGCAGAATTTGTTAAACTCCTTGGATGTGTATTCTGTTCCTCGATCACTCCGAAGTACTTTAATTCTTCTTCCTCTTTGATTTTCGACGTGGCTTTTGAATTTCTTGAAGATAGAGAAGACTTCGGACCTTTCTTTCATGAAGTATACCCAAGTCATTCTTGTATAATCATCAACAAAGAGAATGAAGTAACTGTTCTTCTCGAAGGTTGGCGTCCTCATTGGTCCACACACGTCTGTATGCACCAGCTCTAGTATTTGTTTGGCTCTTTCTGCTTGACATGAAGGAAATGGTTTTCTATGTTGTTTTCCCTCCATGCATTTTTCGCAGAGATTGTCGTTAATTTGAATGGCTGGTAGATTTTTCATCATATTTTTCTGATGAAGTAACTTTAACCCGTTGAAATTAAAGTGCCCGAACCTTCGGTGCCATAGCCAGGATTGGTCTTCTTGGGCTTTTAGTGCTGCTTCTATGAATTTCCAACGGAGTGGAAAGTTTCTCCGTTGTTGCATTTTTACTACAGCTATGAGATTATTTTTGTTGTCATAAATGGTGCAAGAGTTATCTTTGAAGAGTAGTGTATATCCTCTTTCCACCATTTGTCCGACGCTGAGTAAATTAGTATCAAGTTTTGGTACTAATAGCACATCTTCGACGATACGAGTACCTTTTTGAGTCTCGACCTCAATTGAACCTTTGCCTTCAACTTCTACTAGATCTCCATTGCCTAACCGAACTTGTTATTTTACTGATCTATCAATATTTTTAAATTTCTTTTCATCTCCGGTCATATGGTTGCTGCAACCGCTATCTAGGAACCAAATATCATTTTTCTCTTCTGAGGTTGCATGATTTGCATAGAATAACAAATTTTCTCCTTTTGCATTTTCTTCAGAAAAATTTGCTTGATATCTTTTAGTGCGACAATTTTTCTCCACATGACCGAATTTTCCACAATTTTTACATTATGGTTTATCTCGGTACCAACAATCCTTCTCAAGATGGTTGGTTTTCTTACAAACTCCACAAGGTTGATATTTTCCTTTTTGTTGATTATTATTATTTCCACCTTGATTTTTATTTTTATTATTTTCTCCAAATCTTCTCCCCCCAATTTTAGAATTCTGAGACCGTAAATTTAATTTTGACTGAAATGCATTTTCGACTGTGTCATTCTCACGCATACTCAGTCTTTTTTCATAGGCTTCTAGTGAACCTATTAATTCTTTTACTGACAAATGATCCGAATCTTTAGTTTCTTCTGTCGTCGTGACGATAGGATCATATTTGGCTGGTAGAGTAATTAGAATTTTTTCTACCACCCTTTTGGCAGTAATATTTTCTCCATATGCTTTTAATTGATTTACTACTTCTCTTAATCGAGTGTAGTAATCTGCTACGGTCTCAGATTCTTTCATCTTTATATTTTCCAAATCTCTTCTTAAAGTTTGTAATTTCAGATGACGTACCTTGTCACTACCCTGATATTCTTCCTTGAGAGTATCCCACGCCTCCTTTGATGTATGTGCTCCGCTAATTCTCAGAAACAGGGACACTCCGACATGGCCATTTGTAGTGTGAAAAGAGCCAAACTTTCCTTTTCTTTTTCCCGGTCGAATTTTTCTTCGTCCGCCGTAGACAAAGTGGAAATGTCATCGGGTATAATATACCCGTTCTCGACAATATTCCATAGGCCTTGAGACATAAAATATGTTCTCATTTTAATGGCCCAATAGTTATAATTTTCGCCGGAGAAAACAGGAACTGGTATTTGGTGGGTGTTTTGAGAAGTGGCCATTGTAGAAATTTAGTAGGCAATATGAAAGTAGAAGGATATGTGTAAGTAGGGTATTTGGACAAGATATGTAAAAATAGGAGGATATCGAAAAATAATTTCGCCCAGCTATTGATCCAACCGGGCTCTGATACCACTGTTGGTATCTTAAATATTTATATAAAATTGTAGATATGAGAAAAGATAAATATGCTATTATATGTTGAATTTGAAAATAAATAAATATAATTTGTAGAAGAACAAATGCAGGACAAATGAATATAATTTGTAGAAGAACAAATGAAGGGAAGAAGCTTGATTTTATTCTTATTCACTTGCTTGCTCTTTCAATCCGAGAACACTCATTTATATAGCATATATGGAAATCTCTAGAGGTCAATCATTAAATTGGCAACTAATGACAATCAATTTCTAGCTAATTAAATCATTAATTATTATAACAACTAATCAATCATTAATCAACCAACTAAGCATTAAATATTTTAACACTCTCAATGGTGAAATTCCAATATTGTTTTTTTTCAAAACGATAGGTTTTATAGCTCAAGAATTTGTACAAAGGGGGTACTAAATAGCCCAATACACATCCACAAGAACGACAGAGGCACTGCAAGGCCTAGAAAGCAAAACTACTAAGCAGATAAGTCCATAATCCCCAGCGAATACAAGGCTTAGAACCCGGGGTTATGTTCCTATCTCGCTCAAAACACAAAAGACTTAGATCACTGGCTTAGCCCTAATCTAAGACAACTACAACAAACCCAGATTGAAATAAAAACAGCAAAAGCCAAAGAGAAAAACAACAAGCTAAGAAACTAAGACAGCAAAAGCAAACTAGAAGACTCCCAACGCAAAGAAAGCAGCAGCCAGCAAGAGCTAGAACTATTATATCACCTTGCTAAATTCCATCCACTCCTCCATTGCAATACTGACCACTGATCTCTCCGGTCTCCAAAGGCTTTGGAACACCCACAGGTTCCTAGCTTTCCACAACCACCAGAGAAGGTATGTGGTTAGCTGGATCCTATCCTCATTAATAGCAGAGCAGGGGATAGCACACATTGATGACCACCAGTAACTAAAATTTTCAGAGTGTTGCTTCAAACCTTCCCAGCCGATTGGTGCAAGAATCCATACTTTGGCAGCTCTAAGACAGGTAAAAAAGAGGTGGGTAATTGTTTCAGCTTCTTCCCCACAGACCTTGCATCTTTCCAACATGAATACCCTTCTTTGCCAGATTGACACTCACAGGCAAGATATTGTTTAAGCACTTCCAGATGAGGTGCTTAATTTTCCCTTTAATTTTCAAGCTCCAAAGCCTTTACCTCATACCCCTGATCTCAGAATGCCCCCTACGTGGTTCAACAACATCCAAGTTCTTCCATTTTTCCTTCACCAGACAGTCATAAGAAGCAACCACTGACTGAGTACCATTTTTACCACAGTGCCAGACCAATTATTCATCCTTACCTGGGTTTAAACTTTTCACTTTTGAGATTGCAGCTTGTTCTTTTTCTGAAAAGAGATCTTGCAGAACATGTCTCTTCCAATTCCTCCCTGTCACATCAATCAATTCACTAACCAAGTTGATGTTGGAGTTAGCAGGAGGTCTGCTCCTTGGTTTAAAACCAGGTAGGCCAGGAATCCATGGATGATCATATATTCTGATTCTACTCCCTTTTTTAACTTCATATCTCAGTCCCAGCTGGAAGGTGTCTCTCACTTTGAGCCAACTATGCCACAACCATGACCCTGTTTGCTTGTGTTTCACTGTAAAGAAATTGTCACTGAGAAAGTATTTGGCCTTCAAACATTTGATGACAAGGAGGTTAGGCTGTGTGAGGATCCTCCATAATTGCTTGGTTATTAGAGCTTTGTTCATTAAATGGATATCATGGAACCCAATTCCTCCTTTGTCTTTAGGCAGGGTCATAAGATTCCATGCCTTCCAATGAATTTTCTTGCCTTCAGAGTGACCTGAGTTCCACCAAAAAGCAGCAAATTATCTAGCAATATTTGTACAAACAACTTTAGGGATGAGAAAGCAAGACATAGAGTACACTGACAGAGCATTAAGAACTGCCTTTAGGAGAACTTCTCTACCAGCAGCAGAGAGAAATTTGTTCTTCCAATTCCTAATTCTCTTATCCACAGCATCTGATATGAAAGAGAAAGTGTCAATTTTGCTTCCTCCTATGCCAAGATGCAGCCCTAAATATCTCGAGGAATTTTGGGGAGAGATTCAAAAAAGCAAGTTACAGAGAGTCTTTCAGGGGTGCAGAAGCATTTTTGCTGAAGAAAATAGAGGATTTAGAAAGGTTCACTTTTTGCCCAATTCTTTGTTTATAATCAGCCAAAATATCAATGATAGAGTTGGCTTGAGAAAGATCAGCTTTGGCAAGCAACAAGGTGTCATCAGCAAAGAATAAGTGGGATATCTTGGGCCCATTTCTGGAGAGTTGAATACCAGAGAGGTTTCCTTTAAGGGTTTCCATTTTGATCAGGTGAGAAAAGATTTCAGAGACCAGGATGAAGACATAAGGGGACAGTGGGTCACCTTGTCTTATACCCCTCGAGGGAGTGACATACCCACAAACTTCCTCATTGACATTGAAGGAAAAAGAAGCAGAGGAAATACAAGATATAACCCAGTTGACAGACATAGAGCAAAAACCCAATTTCAACATGATAAGGCTAACACTATTCCACTCAATTCTATCAAATGCCTTCTC